AGAGCGGATGTTACAGCATCCATGTGATACTAATCTTGCCCAGTTCCAGACTACCCATTCCCAGTGACTTTATCTGTATCTTCAATAGCATGGGACACCAGAGGGGATCTTGAAAGGTCAATGGGCATAAGTTGAATAGGAGTCTTCTAGCATCACCTTCTGAAACTGCTGCTCCGTAAAGATTGGGACGTGCCATAAAAGAGTGTCTCCAAATCCCATTATAACCTAAGTAAATTAGAGCTAACAGTACTAAAGGTTGCTAAACAATCCAGAGGAACATCCCCAGTGGCCAATTCCTAGAGTAAATCAATGTAACTAAAGCCATCCCTGTCCTATCTAGTTGTAGAAGTCACGCTGAAATGAATACATTTCATTTGAAATGATACATTTGCCTGCTCTAAGAAAGCCCTGGAATCTAGATGCAAGTGATTTTTATGAGGCACTCAGTCATAGTAAGCAACTAGTCTTCATTTCTTTTCTATGGGTGAAAAGGAAGTAGATCTTTGAGCACCTGAAAACTCTACTGAATGACTGCGCAAATTTCTTTAAGCATGAGTTCTTTGGTGCCATGACCACAAAGGAGTAAACTTAAAATAGGTTGTCATTCATACTTTGTCAGGCTTGTTCTGAATTTTCATCCAACCTTGTTCTAGCATTCATGACAGTTATTTCATTAACCTTCAGAACTGCTCACCCACAAATCGGGGAGCTTGTTTGGTTCTACACATCATGAAGGGACTATCTGGAGCAAATCTGTTATCTTCCTTTTTAGAGGGAGACCAAGAATTCAAAACAATCACCTATAGAGATGACTGGAAAATCATCAAAAATTATTTTTTTAAAAAAATCCTTCAGATGTGTCAGTCTAATAGAGGGGACCACCTTAATATCCTCAATTCCAGCAAAGTTTCTAAGTTTCAGTAGATCTAAACCATGCCAGGTACTGACCTATCTACACCCAAATCCTTGCTCTACCATTTAGTATAGAAATCCATACTCAGCATGCGCACTGCTGAATGAGTAGGGCCAGATAACAAATGGGACAGATCTGTAATTGCCACAATATGCTGCATATATGTTTAATTCTCTCCAACACAACAAGCCAGAAGAATCCCTTCACTATTCCCAAGATCACTCTGGCTAGTTCAGGAAGGGAAGAACTTGATTAGTGGAAGTCCAGTAGAATCCCCATTCTGCCCTGAACACAGACTGGTCAGGAGACAGAAACATGATCACCCACAGCAACATCAATTTCCCTCCAAAGTCCTGCTCTTCTCTTTCACTCTTCTGATTTACAGAACATTCAAAAATCAGATCTTCCCTTTGGTCTTGGTTTCATCTTAGCTCTGTATTTCACTTGAGATATTGTCAAGTTTAACTTTCTTGTGTCTTTTCTGTTAACTGCCTAGTCTTTCAGAGGCTGGGTTTCGTTTTTAATCACTTGATCAACTAAACACATTAACACTAAATCTTAAAAATAAATGGCAAGACAACCAAGCAATGTTTTCCAGCTTTACAACTCTCAAAATACAAATATCACAGAGGAAGCAATAGTGAAACCTGTTGGACAGCTTGCAAGAAGGAAGACTTTAATCCATGTCTGTTTAACCTAAGCCCAGATGCTTAGACAAACAGATGCAGAAAACACTGGGCTGTCTAGGTCTTTCTTCCACAGTTGAACCACTGTGTGAAATAATAAGCCTTGCTCTGCCCTGCCCTTTATTTGTCATATGGAAATCTGGATGACAGACTGTGGGTGTGCATATCCTTTTTTCCTGCTCTTCACCCTCCCATCTCCCAAACTGCAACAAGAGAGAAAGGACTGAGTTAGAGTTCTAGTCACCAATTACAATCCAATAATTGCACTCCTACAGTTGTGAGAACATTATTTCCTCCACCATATACAGAAACACCATTGCAAAACTCAAAACTGAAACAGGAGAGGAGGCAGTACTTCTGGGTGCAGGAAATTACTCCCACAATTCTGGAGCATGACTGAGAGCTATGAGTTGGCACTTACACATACAATAGTCTGTTAGCCTTCTTTGCTTCTCAGCAAACCACGCCAGTCTTGCCAAGCTTGATCGAAAAAGCAGTTGTCCACTTTTGCTCCTTCATTACTGTTCCTCATTCTCCCCCTCCCCTCCTTTATTACTAGTTCATTTTGAACAAGAATCAGGGTGACCAGCAAGAATATATCAATTTCCACACTCCTGGCTCCCAGGAAATCTAGAGAAATAAGAACTGGTTCCTTACTAGTTATCACCTTCAATACAGTAGTCTATGGGGTTCATAGCAGAAATTAGCAATTGGAATTAGCTTATTTGCAACTGGAACAGATTTGGACATTTTTAGAGCATATGATGGGTGCAGTCATAAAATGGCTGCTGTGTGAGACTTATCAATTCATGAAATTGCGATCCCAGCCAGTTCCAGAAACAAGCCAGTTTCTTATCTCCGGCCCAGAGGCTGGTGCTTTGCTTCACAGCATCCAATTTAAATTTGTTATTAAAAGAACCTTTTTTAAAAAAAAGGCAGCTGGGACAGAGATTCTGGTAGGCACCAACAGGGATATTTGGAGCCATCTGGATCCCCGTTGCCTCTTCTGGATGAAGATGACTGTATCAGGCCACTTTCACACTGGGCAATACAAACTCTGCTTTAATTATCCCATCTTTAGCTGCTCTGAAATCAAGGGAAGAAGTGATGGAATACAAATGAACTCAATTAAAAGAGATAGAGGGATAATGAATCACCAAACATATGCACCAAACCAGTGCTTTTCAGGATACACAGCCCATTTTTGGGCAAACAGTATTGATCGGATTGTGATTCAGGAGGTCATCCATGCACCTTTTATGTAGCAAAAAGGAGGTGAAGTGCCCCAACATACATCCCTTCCTTTCTTAATTGAAGGGCTTGTAGCAGTGTCAGTGCTCCCCAATATTACATAATTATTATCTTTTAAATACTATTTTATAAAGTCCAATGCACTTCCCATGGACTATCTAGTGAATATCTGTTATGATTTCCATACTGTAGACAAAAAGTGGAAACAGATTTAGCTGCTTAACAGCACTTAGTAAGTTGACAGCAGAGGCAAAATTTGAATTAAGGAATTTCTAATTTGAAGCTTGGTCCCCATGCTATACCAGCCTTTTAAACAGTTTTTTTTCTTTTTCTTTTCATTCAGGCTTTGGTAATCATCTCTTTAGATCCATGAGCTATAACAGAGGAGACAAGAGTAAAGACTTGTAGAGGAGACAAGAGTAAAGACAGAGGAGACAAGAGTAAAGACAAAAATAAAGACTTCTATTTTATAGCCATAGCCCCATGACCTTTTCTTGTGCCTGTTGTAGCTCTCAAGCTATAGGTCAATATCCATGTTGTTAAGCTTTGTAAATTAAAGACATCGTCTGGCTTTCCAGAGAGAAAATGAGAAGCCTAATTTGCCCTGTGCAATTAGATTAGGGACAATTATTAGAAATTTTAAGCATTTCTGTACTCTAAAGAGTCCTGTTAAGAAAACTGGGAATCCGGAAGGCTGTGTTAAAAAATAATCAACTTTTCACTCTTGTAGACAGAAGTCTGAAAAAATAGTAGGAGAAACGATGGAGTATTTAGCAAAGGATTCAAACTTCAGTTATGTACAGACTCATACATGGAAACTTAACTTTCTACAAAAGATGACTGTGGTTGAGGATCCAGCTGCATTACAGGAATCCTTGGCTGCAATAATTTCCCCTGCTTTTTACTTTTTTAATGCAGGGGAATTCTATAGTGTTCTGAGTTTTTAATTTTGGATAATAGCAGCTTTGTGATTCAACATTTGACTATAGTTTGTAAACCTGGAAGACTGATTAAGAGCAGATTTTTGGAGAGCTCGTTTTTTTTTTTTTTAAGTTGCTTCACTGAGTATCATCTATTGTAAGAAGAGCTGGCTTGCTTAAGTATGCAAAGAACCAAGACTCAGAGGCTTCCTTCGCCAGATCACATGATAGAAATGCTGCTAACCACCAACAGAAACTAGATGATGTCACTTCCAAACAGGATACAGGCCCGCAATCATATGCTGTATTTATAGCCACTGAATACTTGCATACTTCATATACAGAGCTACATATTCAATGAATTCAAATGTTACAGGATTTGATATTTGTATCAACACTTCCTAATAATTTGCAATAAGTGCTGCCTAATTGCTGTCCTAGAATTTCCAAAAGCTTGGTGCACAGAGCACAAGGACTACAATGAGGTAATAAATATGGTGTATTTTAGGTATTTAAATCTTCTAGTTTCCCCCAATTTCAAGGATTTAAGAATGATAGCAACCAAATGTGCCATGAAACTGTCACCAAGAATAAAACTTGAAATGAATATTCCACTCTTTCCTCTTCAGGCAAAGCATCTGAGGAATTTTAGCGAAGATGAAAGAGAAGGTTAGCAAAATTTCTCAAGAGAGGAAATATAGTCCCATTAATAGCTTTTACCTCCAGTGACTTGGTACAGTATCTTTAAAATGCTATAGAAATTCTGATAATATATCCAACAAATTATTTAATTTTACTGATGTCTTAGATTTATATCCTGCCTTTCCTTAAGTATTCAAGGTGATATAGAGAGCATTCTCAATTCTTTCTCACAAAAACAACTGTCAGGTTGGTCTGAGAGAGAATAACCAGTCTAAAGTCATCCAATGAGCTCTGAGGGCTGAAGGTGGACTTGAATTTTGGTGTCTCCAGTCCTAGTTCAACTGCACTATACTAGCTCTCAAATTAATACTCACAAAAATTCAGTAGGTATGTATGATATCACTTGTAAGATACTGTAGTACTTAGCAGAACTACTTGAACCAAAAGTCAACTGAATTCATCAGGTAAACCGAAATTCCATGCTAAAGTAATGCATACTTACAGAACACATACAAAAGCTGCTGCTTCTGCATATACAACAAATATCTTTTATAAATTAACTTTCATATTTCTAATACTTTTTTGCAGATGAGAAGCAAGCATGAAGAATGATAGCCATGGATACTGGAGGTTTCTATCAACATTAGCCACCCTTGCACATAATACAAGGATTCATAACCCAACCTGATTTATTGTGAACCTGAGGGGGCCATTGTATTCTCCCTTCCCCCATGGTTTGTATTTTTTGTTTTTTATGGTATTTATTAATGTGGTTTTATATTTTTTTTCTGTGGTTTTTAATATCTATCTTTTTATCTAACTGTTGTACGCTGCCCAGAGTCACTTTGGTGAGATGGGCAGCTGTATAAATTTGCTAAATAAAATAAATAACTAGGATCATGCTACTGCACATAATCTGTTTGTTCCCACTTTGCTCCTCCATTCATGCAAGTGGACAAAATTAACCAAAAATGGAGACCTTATTTGGGGATCTGACTTTGAAGATTTTAGCTTTTTGCTGATGTACAACCTTAACCTGTTTAGGAACAATAACCCTACATGCCAAGTATACATGCCATACTGAACCTTCCTCTCCACATGATGACCAATTCAAGTCCATTGATTCCAGATATGACCAATCCATGCCATGTTATACGCACCTCCCATTTTTCTAGGAAAAGAACATCACAGATCCTTGGCATACTGAATTCTGGGTACAATATCAAACAGTGCAGCCGACACATTAATAAGAAGCAGGCCTGGGAGGGAATCTAATCTTCCCCTAATGTGAAGGTCATTTTCACCTTTCACTTTGCAGAAACACTACAACATTTATATGATACATGATTGAGCCATGATGGAAATGCTTTAAGCAAAAGCAGAGCTGTCCTTCAGCCTAATACTTCCCACAGCTTTAACAATGTCTAAGCTTGTTCTTATCAAATCACATCAATTTTAACTCGCTTAGAATTATCAGACTGACATATAAAACCACAAGATCTCTCAAGGGAACACCAAACATAATGATGCTACCATGGGGGGTGGGGGTGTTAATTGCAGTTTGTCTATACTTACTGACAATGAATGTTTAGATTTTAAGTGTGTTTTAGGATTTTACTGGTGCTAATTATTTTATTGGGGTATCATGTCAGCCTTACTAGGTAGACCAGACAAGAAACACAACCAAATGAACTAATTCTACTTTATTGTAAAGCTATATTAACAGAATCTTGCAAGTCGGAAAGTAGATTTCCCCCCAACCCCCAGCCCCATTTGCTTTATAGCCCAAAAACTAGGGAAAGTGTCTTCTGAGCCTCTTGCCCTGCCCACGTTCCTTTTTTTTAAATATAATTTTTATTAAAGCTTTTAAACAAGAAGATAAAAACTAACACAAACTAATATAAAATACAGGAGAAAAAGAAAAAGAAAGAAATCAAAGAAAAAGCAAAACGTGCAAGAAAAGAAAAAAAGTTGAGGAAAAATAGAAAAGAAAGGGGGAAAAAAACAGAAAGTGGCTTCCGATATTCTTCACAGCAGTTATATGTACAGATATATTTTAACCTCTCTAACATTACATCATATTACTCTTCTTTCTATAATCTGTCCTAATCCTCAAAACCATAAATCACAAATTCATTTTTTTTCATTGTTATGCAAAAAGTCCATAAGAGGCTTCCGGTCACCAATAAATGTAGATAGTGTCTTTTCTCTAATCAAAGAAGTCAACTGATCCATTTCAGCAAAATCTGCCAACTTCACCAACCATTCCTCCATAGTGGGTAGTGTCAGATCTTTCCACCTCTGTGCATATAGTAATCTCACCGCAGTAATCGTAACCCCACCCACATTCCTGCTGCAGGCTCTGCTGTCTTTCATCTGACCATTCCCCTGGCTTCGTCTCTGCCCTGTGTCTTCCAAGGTCATTGCCACACGCCATTACATAGCCATCCTGAGGCAATGGAACAGGCAAGATATCAAATAAGGAAATCAGTTAAGACACTACCATCTTGTTGCTAAATCCAATACAAACATTCAGTTAATACATATTGCAATGTACTTCCTTCCTCTAAAAAGAGCACATGGTCAGGCATGCTGAAATGTCAGTTTGTGCAACAAGTATACCATGAAAAGCAAAACAAAACACACCTAGTAACATCCATCCCAGAAAATCTTTAATTCAACGTATCCAAATATTTAATAAGTGGGAGAGCTTTCCAGAGTACAGTAATTCCACCCATCTGACAAGAAGAAATAAGAGGAGGAAGAGAAGTGGCAAACATTTCAGGAAAGAAATCCAAAAATGTTAAAAATGGAAAACACTTCTATGGTTATTTTGCTAGCATACCACTGTCCTCCAAAGTGATGATTTGAAATTCAGTTAAAAACAGAAATTGCCAAGAGGATTGCACGTCTGGAAACAGTTCTGCCTCTTGAGCAAACTACAGTGAAGCATTACTGAAGATCTGGAGTCACAAAAGATTCCCAACTTGCCAGGAAAAACTGAGCTCTTCTATTACTTGCTCAATCCAAAGCAAAAGGTATTAGACTTCAGACAGATGATTTTATTACCAAAGTTTTAAGAAATGAATAATGGAATTATAAACCATGAAAAGGAAAACTTTCCCTTTAAGAATGCTTTACAGGAAATTGACTTCAGCTGGCTGCTTTACCAAGCATGTTCCCTAAAGCTTACAGATTCAAGGGTCTGCAAAATACCAGATCATGTGTTCCTCCCGTGGGATTTGCAGCACCATATGTAGGCTTTGACTTAATCTTTCTTAAAGTTTCAGTGCCAAATACACTGTATATCCACAGTTCTGCTTACAGAGCTATAGCCTGGGAGGAATGGACGTTGTTCATGAAGAAGGAAGGTAAAAGTAAAGTAAAAAGTAAAGTTAAAAAAAGTAAAAAAGTAAAAGTTCATGAAGAAGGAAGGTAAAAGATAAAAGGAAAATACTCTGGTGGCCCCTCCTGAATTTCAGGCTTCAGGGTTTCTACAGCAGGTTTTGGCCTGCCATGGCCATTTACATCCTTATACTGACCATGAAATGAGGGTTGCTCCTTACATGACTGGTTTCTTCCACTAGAATTGTGAAGCTCTGAAAATCAGTCAACATTTGATAGAAATTTCAAAATACAGGTAGCCCTTGTTTAGCAACCACAATTGGGACTGGCAACTTGGTCTTTAAATGAAGCAGTTGCTAAGTGAAACCATGACTGTGCTTATGATCTTACTTCAGCTTTCCTTTACTTTACAGACCTGCAAAGGTTGCAAACATAAAGATTGGTCATAAAGTTACTTTTTCATCACTGTCGTAACTGTGAATGGTCACTAAACAAGGCAGTCACTAAGAGAGGACTACCTATACATATGAAATCATGTACTGAGTGTGAAACAATCTCAACACTGAAACATGAGTGCCTTACCCTTTTTGTCATATTTTGCTGTCACACTGTGACTGAGATCATCCCAGTTTTATGCTCCAGTCTGGGTATCCCAGCTGATTTTTTAAAAAGTCCTGGAAAGAAGGGTGTTTAGCTATTTGCCACCATTTATTTCCCATTTGCCTGCACAAACTAACAGACTTCTGCAAGCTAAAGAGAAGTGAGTTGAAACACACTAGCTAAACACACATTTTCCTTTTGCCTGGAGGGGTGTGGGTTTAGCCACTTCAACTTGCTCCCCCTTTGCCTACACAGGCAAAATGGGAGTTTAGTCAAATGGCTCAACCCACACTGAAAATTATTCTGTAAATCCTTCTGCAGAAGATTGAAAAAACTTTCTTCAGAGCAGAATGGCCAGAGAACAAGCTAGTTCAGGCATTTTTGGAGAGGTACGGCTAGTTTCTCTGCATGAGAAAACTGGGGTCATGTATTCTCTGTGTCAACAAGTACAGCAGGCTTTTTCTGGGGAGACTTAACATATAATTGTCATGCAGGTTTCAAATGCATATGAATATTGTTAAAGAACAATAGCTGGAATTTTTCTTTCCTTTCTGCTCTTTTGTGATATGTATGTATGTATGTATGTATGTATGTATGTATGTATGTATATACATAGTTTAATAGGAAATTAAAAGTATATCTGACTCTCTGAATAAGAGTACTCTACATTTCAACAATATGTTCAGAAGCAGTCACAGAACCTGGAGGTTTCATCAAAATGGCAAAACATCCATTGTGATATCACAGTACAAGCTCTATCCCCATGCGCTTCTCCAGTACTTCTCTTTCAGGCAAATCTTATGCTCTGAACCACCGATAAATAAGGAGAAAGCACTTTTTGTAATGCTAACAAAATTAGCTGATTTCAGTTTGTCAAAGTGGACCTTTGGAGCTTCAAACTACATTCTTGGCAGCTCCTTTACTACCCTCTTTCCTGTATGGCTAGACAGAATGACAGGGTAAGGAAATAAATAACAAGGTTGCCAACCCAGCTTCTGCCTTCCCCATGTCTGACTGTATTACCAGCCAAGTTCTCCCCACAATATATAGCATGATTTTGCTATTGTCAACACAGTTGGTTTCTTGATCCACCACCCACTAGCTGATGCTTAAAAAGATAAGGACATATATAACATGAATCCATTATCTTTTTCATTTATAAGTCACTGGCTCCACTCTAAGCATGTCATTACTTACCAGAGTAATGCAAGAGAGCTAGATTTTAATTTTGCTAAAGTCACACTGATTAGCTAGCAACCAATGGTCAAACTGGTCTTTCCTGAAAGGCAGAACAATAGCAAAGTTATCAGATTATGTCTACTGTACTCACCATGGTTTAAGTGCCTGATGCAATCATTCAACATAGTGCTGAATTGCTTTTGAGCCTCTGAGTCCAGAAAACAGTAATAACTATGTCTAAGGAAAGGCTGCCAGAGATAGACTGGAAATTCCTTTGGAGGGACAACAAAGGCCTGGGTATTCTCCTTTTCATTGGAACCTTAAAAATATACACAAGTTTATGCTTTTAAACATTCCATCAGGTTTACCTATAATTATCTACAAGAGTTCCCAACAGGCAGGTAATCTTGCCTTGCCATTTGTGGCACCAATGCTTAGTTTTCACTGCAACCCCAAGAGGCTGTGCGCTAGACACCACCTAGGTTGTAGCATCAGCCTACCTGAGCATTCAGTCAGCAGATTCCCTAGTCCAGCCTCACAGTTCTTCAGATTCAGAATGTATAAATCATGTGCATCAGATGGGCAGCTATGTAAATCTGATAAATCAATAACATCCCCAGTCTGAGCAATTTGTCTCTGACATCAGGATGCTGCCTCAGTCCCTGTTTTCTTAAAATTTAGTCTTTGCTTGACTTTGATTATGTCTCTGTCTCTCACTTTCTTTGCTTCTCTTGAGCTTCCATTGCTGCTCTGGGTTTTGAGCCTGATATGACTCAAGCCATATGCACATTTCAGGAGAATCCTGGGACAGCACAGATAGGCAAGCATATTAAATGCATGCCTTTAAATCATGCGTGTAAATTTTTAGAAAGACAATGCAACGCTTATAAGAGAACATGAATTAATATGCCAAGTACAACCATTTTCATGTAATTTTTAGACAAATTATACATGTTTTGCCCCAAAGCAAACTCCATCTCCATTATAAAAAATAAAGGGGAATGGGCTATACCTTACCATTAGGTTCTGGAAAATGTTTATCAGATAGTGAGTTATATTCTTCTTCTGTAGTTAGCACTTTGCCTCCAACAGGGAGAATGCAACTTTTTGAACTTACTCCTTTCTGGAATGCCTAGGATTAAGAAAAAGTAGTAAAGCTTTTCTTTAAAAAAAACCAAAAAAACCACCCTAAACATGAAATGGCTCCTATAAATGAATGAGAGAATGTGGACTACATTTAAATTTCAAAATCCAGAACAGAAGGTAAATAAATGTTCTAAGGAACCACATAGCTTCTTCACGAGTTCCATTTATCTGGTTTTTTTAGCTTGCATTTTGTCTTCCAATAGGTTTCCAGGATCCTTTACAAAATATTAATATTACTATACAATTAAATAATAACATATGTAAAATAAAATAGATTATACAAATAGTATGCATAACATATTCCTTATACATTAGATAGGAAATCAGGTAATAGAATTCAGTGCTTTTTTCATATGGTATAGATTTTTTCCTTAAAAGTAAATGATGATTAAGGCCATCTCTGATGTTATGTTATAACACCATCTCCTGATCAGTATCATTAATTTAAAATCTAGACAATGACAGGGCCAGAAGGCAACCTTGCTTGATGCTTTGAAAAGTGGGAATAGGGTTCATCAATTTGTCATGGTGCAAGCACTTCCCGTGCATAAAGATGTTTTTGTATAGCATCATTATCAGCTGGAAGAGAAGACTGTCAATAAATGTCAACAAGACTGCCAATAATTTTTCTCCATAGCCTCTCTAGGGAAACTGAATCATTAATTATACTGTTCAGATCTCACTAAACGAAATTTCTGTTGTTTCTCCTCCCCCTCTATGCCCCCCTTGGCCCACAAACCAATCTCCATCCTTCGACATGCTGATGATGCTGTCATGTTATTGGTGTCCCAGATCAGTATCCCAACTGGATTTCTGCAACATGCTCTGCATGGGACTGCCCTTGAAGAGTATTCAGAAGCTTCGGCTGGTGCAGATGCAGTGGCGCAGACAGTTGTGTGTGTCTGTCATTTGGCACATATGACATCTCTGCTCTGCGAGTTGCATTGGCTGCCAGTATGCTTCTGGGTTCAGTTCAAGGCGCTGGTCTTCATGGCTTGGGACTGGGTTACTTATGGGACTGTCTCTCCCCAGTTGTATCCACCTGTCCTGCTAGATCCTCAGGAGAGGAATGCTCCTAGTCCTGTCTGTTAGAGAGTGTCATCTGATAGGATCCAGGAAGGAAGTCTTTTCTGTTGTGGCCCCTGCACTCTGGAACATCATTCCCACAGAGATCCGACTCACCCTGACCCTGCTGGCCTTTCGTAAAGCCTCGAAGACTTGGTTTTATCACTGAGCCTGAGGCCCTGATGGTGTGAGTGAGCCGTTCCTTGGTTGAATTAATTGTTGTGAATGATCATTTACTGTTGCTGTTGGTTGTTTTTCCCCAGCTGCTATTTATGCTGTTTATAGCTTTGTTATATTGTTTTTAATTCTGTTTTTAAGTATTGTTAGCTGCCCAGATTCATGCACTTTAGATGGGGGAGGGCATGTAAATTTAATAAATAAATAAACAGGCTTGAGGTGAAGCCCATGTGCATTAGTATCATACTTCCAAGATGAAAAGTTGGAAATAAACCGTTCCGAAATGAAGGTGTTATACAGGTAGTCCCCAATTTAAGCACGAGTTCTGTTCTCAAGGTCTGTCCTTAAATCAAATTTGTATGTAAGCTGGAACAGTATTATTGTATAATACTGTTTAAATAATATTGTGTAATGAACTTGAACCATTGTGTATGTAACTCGAATGATTGTGTATTTAACTCGAATTTTGCTATAATAGGCAAATTCTTAACTATGGATCGGCCGTAAACCGGGTGTTTTTAACCCGGGGACTACCTGTATTCATCAGGTGCCACATTAATTATGCATATAATTAGAAATTCAACAATAATCAAATTGAGACAATCAAAGCTATTAAATACCTAGGCATTTACTTTGAAGCTTCCACCATGGAAATATCAAATTTATGACCTCCCAGGATGGCCACAAGGGTCTGCTAATCACTAATGATGACTTCATGACTTCCAACAATCTTGCTTACTTTCAGTTATAATTTGAGATTTTTGACCTTTTGACATCTATCTCTAATCACGTACTGAGAATACATAAAGGTACAAAGCGGAAAAGAATGCAGACAAATGGGACTGATGTTGGAAGAGACTCATGTCTTTTGGATGTACTGATTTCTCAAAGGCACAAAAGAAATCCGACATACAAAAAGGAGTATTTGGAGAATGGCAATATTCACATATATGTCCTTGGAGAACCAAAACAGAGTAGTTTTAGGTGTGGATAAAAAGACAACCACTTTAGCATGCCAAATATATTTGTAATGGTTAATATTTGCCAGAATCCGTGTCCAATCTGATTTTTTTTTAAAAAAGCCCCAAAATTTTCTTAAACTTTTTTTTTAATTGGAAAATAACATCTTACAAACTGCCATCTTTTTTTATCCTTTGTCTGTGAATGTTCTTGAAATAGAAATCATGGGTGGCTCTAGCCCAGGACTTTGGGGGGAAGTATGCCCAACTTCCCAGAGGAAAAGCAAATATAAATTTGGGCTGACAGAGAATCTCCAGGATAGATTTCAGGATTGAGTGGGCAAAGCACCTCAACTCCCATTTTGTGAACAGGTAAAGTAGTTCTCCTTTTTACACAAGTACCAATAATATGCTCTAAAGATTCCGAATGTGCCCACCAGCTCAGAAAGTACAGCCATTCACTAGTTTTGCCTTTCAGAATTGAACCCAACAGATCAGCAGTGCTAAACATCATGCCTGCCTCAGCACTTAATAAATTGACAGTTTACCTCTTTGCTTTCAAAGCTTTCCACGGCATAGTTACTTTTAATTACTATGTATCTGTCTTTCCATTTCTTCAAGTCTTCAGCAAAATGTGACACTTCTCCTTCATAAAGGACCATGCTGGATAATCCAGGTGGCTATAGAAAAACAATACAGAGAAACAGAATTAACTTCCTGAAAGTATTCTTTCTCTTTCTTTTGTAAAGGGGAGGGGGGGAGAGGTCTAGCATCTTAGAAAAAATAGTGTAGAAGTTCAAAGCACTGATATGGATGTATGAGGTTTGTCGTGCTACTACAACAAGATTAGACCCATATCTGAGGCCTGTACCCTCACATTCAGCTTTAAACTGAGACTTGAGTTTTCTACTTTCAGTATTCACTTGAGAGGAAAGGAAGTTGGAAAGAAAACCAACTTACAGTATTTAGCTAGCTAGCACATGCAGTTTGCCAGATTGTGATATAATTTATTAGCCACCCAACTCCAATGGACTCTTGGACGGTTTCACGATGAAGCCTGTTTCTAAATGTTTTAGTTTTCTCCACCCTAAAGTACATGCAGATACTTTCTGCATAGGAATATAGGTATTTTCACCATTTGTGGTTCAACAGGGTTCTTGGGAAGCATAACATGTATATGTGTTTGTGTGTGGCGTAGATCAAATATAGTATTTTAGGCTCTTGTGAGATAGCTGCAACTGAAAGAGGATAATCGTATTCATGCATTACATTAAATCATGGTTTCCTCAATATTGATCAACTAAATAAATCACAACCGGCTAAATTGGCATCTAGGCTAAGGCATAAATCATGATTTACACACCAGAATAGTTTTGTTTGCATAATGCACAAAGGTGAAACCAAACAAAATCATATTCTGGCGGATGTGTGAATCAGATCACAAATGAGGGCATGTTCAGCAAGTAACCCTCACAGCCAACTGGAACTTTCAAACGCAGTTTGCCAGATTGTGATATAAGAACTGCTATAAAGAGTCTGATCAGGAAGGGTAGGAAGGAACTGGTGCATCTGAGCACAGGGAGATAACTGGAACATGCACAATTGAGATATGGCGCCCAACTGTAATGGTATGTGGGAATGACTTTGGGAGACTGGGCGAAGAGACGCAGCCAAAGGAGCGGTCAGATAAAAGGCAGCTTAGCCAGCAGCAGGAATGTGGATGGGGAAAGCGGCTCAGAAGAGACCCTCCCTAGTTTCTCGGGCTGTAAAGGGGATGGGGGGAGAAGTGTACTTTCAGACATGCAAGATTCTGTTAGTGTAACCTTACAATAAAGTAGAATTAGCTCATCTGGCCGTGTTTCCTGTCTGGTCTACCTCCCAAGGCTGACACCAACAGCCTAAAACTGGGGTTAAAACATGGGGTGGAAACATAAAAAGAGAATAATAAATACTTCTTGTTACCTTTGTTTTTAAGAATTGGGATTGCAGATCTCTATTTTGTTCCAGCTCATTCTGGATGTGTTTGCAAAAGGACACAGCATATTGGCGCTTATAGTGTGGGCTAAAGTTCTTGATCACCGCTTCAGTCGTTCCTGAAAAGGCATGTTAAATATATTATATTTACATTTTGCTTAGGCTTCACGAGTGCATGATTCCCAACACTGTTTTACAAAACATCTTCTGCAAAAGGGTTATAGAACTGCATGTATCTGAACTGAGGGGAATGGAAGCTTCTGTTATGAATGTTAACGTTCCCTGACCAAATAGCCTTTTGTTTTATCTGACCTAATCCTGGTCCTGGCCTTTTTCTTAAAAACATAATGAGACGGGATATCTTATCACCTAAAGAAATCTCCTTGTTCTTGTTCCAGCATATCTGATGAGCTCCAGAGGCAGATAACGTCCTGAAGCACTACATATCTGATTCCAGGTGACATACAGAGTTGCAAATCTATTCCCCTCCTGTTTCTAAAAGGAGAAATAATGTAGCTATTGAGAGCCTGTGTGCTATATTGGTGAAGATTTGGGACTAAAACTGGGGAAACCTCGGTTCAAATCCACACTTAGCCACAAAAACCCCTTGGGGAACATGTCCAGTCACGTTCTCTTTCAATCCAGCCTGTATCGCAGCATGATTATGGACTTACTTCAAGCATTTATGTAGTTGCCCCACTCAAACAATGCAACTATGAGTAGCATGCAGTTAATTGATAAACAAAAATAACCTCGAACAAAATAACACCAGCTAAAAACAAATACTGTATAACAATCAACAATCAGGGACTCAAATTTACCATACTCCTCCATACAGGAACTCTAGTCATACACACACACACACACACACACACACACACATATTATGTTGGTGATAATCAGTACCTTGAATTGCACACTGAAGTCTATAAAAAGTCTACAGGAAGCCAGTACAGCTCACAGAGTAGCAGTGCTATGTGAGTGTACTGAGGCGCACCCATAACAACGTGTGTTGCTGCATTCTGGACCAATTGTAACTTCTGAATGGTCTTCAAGGGTAGCCTCATGTGCAGCACATTGCAATAGTCCAACTAGGAGATGACTAAGGTGTGAGTGATTGCTAGCAGGGCTTCTCAATCTAGGAACAGGCACAAATGGCTCACAAGGCCCAGTTGTCCAAAGGCCCCCACGGTCACAGCTGCCACCTGCTCTTTAAGCAGAAGCTATGAGTCCAGGAGGACCCACACATTGCACACCAGGTCTGATTGGGGTAGTGTGACTTCCTCCAAAGCCAAGGATAGAAACTCTCCAGTGTCCTTGCACTCAGGGGGCTCAAACCTCATAGCCACTCAGCTTTGGTAGGGTTGAGTCAAAGCCTGTTCTTTCCCATCTAGACCCCTACAGCGTCCAAACACTGGGTCAAAATTTTGACCACCTCACTTGGTTGGCCAGGAATGGTGGCATACAATTGAATATCATTAGTATGTTGATGTGATGGAATGGTTTCATGAAGGCCGTGCTCATGGAGATAAGCATTGCCTTAGCCCCCAGCAGCAGCGTGGGAAGGTTAAGAGGATGAGACTGGCACCACCCTAAGGAATTCGTGGGGTTTTGGTTGCTGGCTTGGGAAGTTTAGGTTCAGTCTGGAGAGATTCTGTCTTGTGGCTGAAAGCTAATAAAAGCTATCGGACTAAGACCGGTACTATCTCATGGAGTTCTTTGGGCTGAACCTGACAGCTGATGATACTGCACCCTGTGTTGAAAGATGACTGTTCTGAGTGGCTTTATATAGATGTTAAAAAGAACCAGGCAGAGGGTAGAGCCCAGAGACACCCTGCAAAGCAAGGGTCTAGGGCTAGACTGCTCCCCCCAGAAAACAAATGGAACTGGCCCCAGAGGAAGGAGGAGAAATACTGTAACACTATGCCAGTCCAAAAGGATACCATGGTGAATGGTATCAAAGGCTGCTGAGAGGTCAAGAGGGCCAGAATTAATGTACTACCACCCACCTCCCCATCACAAGCCTACCATAGGTAATTAACAAGTTCAACCCAAGCTGTCTTGCTACTACATCATCATCTAAAACCCAGATGGGATCCAGATAAACCACTTCCTCCAGAACCCTTTGGAGCTGCAGACTGGCCACCTTTTCAACAACTTTCCCTAAAAAGGGAGAGTTAGTGAATAGATGAAAATTGTTCAGATCTGTGGGATCCAATGAATTCCCAAGGAGGGTATATACCACTTCCTCTTTCACAAGGCAACTCCATATGACTTGCCCAGCTGGAGTCCACCTCAGAATGAATCTGAGTGATTTCAACCACACAGCAACCCTGCAGATCCATCCTGACTAAGGAGGGATCAGATTACTCTGAACAGGGCTGCTGGCTGATATTCAGAGGACACAGTAAGAGTGGAGAAATAAGCATGTTTCGCTGCTGTTATTGCCACAAGGTAATCCTTAATAAAGGCTCTTAATCATGTCCAGTCAGAATTACTCTTCCTCCCGTGGTATTCTATGCATCTCTTCTGCCGCTTCATCCTCCAGGGGTCCTCTGTAAACCAGGGTCTGTGTGCAGAGAGAGTCCACACAGGTACAATCTGATCTAAGACTGTTGTTGCCTCATTCCAGGCAACAACTAAGGCTTCAATGGAACTGTGCATCAGAGCCTCAAGGACAAACCCAAGTTCCCTCTGGAGCCCAACTGGGTCCATTAGATACCTGGGGCAAACCAATCAGAGATCCAGACTCCTTGCAACAGAGGGAGCTGTGGTAAACTCCATAGTTAACAGTTGTCTGTCCATGATAAAGGAACTGATGGTAATAACTCGCAACTCCAGATCACGTTACTACTGCCCTGAGACAAAAACCAGGTCAAATGTGTGATTCCCCCCCATAAATTGGGCCCAAAATAAACTAGGTCGGTTCATGATGGCCATGAACTTCCAGGCTGCCTCTAAGTCCATTTGAAATCCTGCAGCACCATAAACCTGGGGAACTCTACTGCCAGTCAAGACACAGCATCAAGCAGCACAGGCAGGGAAGTTGCTATATGGTAGGGAGACAGATACAACAGTAGCAATCCCAACTGATCCCTAAGGTGCAACTGACAAGTAAAGTCTCACACCTTGCTATCTGTGGAGCAGCGCCCCTGATAATCTCCAGAATCTCCCACATAACCATAGCTACCCCCCTGCCTCCTGCCCTGGAGTTGCAGCTAGTGCCAAACCGGAAACCCAACCAAGCACATTTCAGAGAGGGACATCCCCCTCCCCACTTGCCCAGCCAGATTTCAGTAATACATGCCAAGTCAGGTCTTTTATTCAAGATTAAATCCTGGATGAAATGAGCTTTATTAGAGACCAACCTGGCATTTAATAGCAACAGCCAGAATGGGCAGTAGGCACAAGAGAAAAGAATCCAAATTATTTAAGTTCACAGTTTACTTTGGGGCCCTGCAAGAATGGAATATCCATTGGCAGGCCTTAATAACACTTACAGGTTACAGCTTAGTACTTTGGGTATGATCCTATGGCGGCTGCAAATGAGCATCTAGCTTTACAACATAAAGAACTAAACAGGCAAGCCAAGGCTCAGAAATAAAAGACGAGCATATAAATCTGACGGCTGGGTTCGTACATTATGCTAAGTCATGGTTTGTTGGACAGATCACAATGGCCAGATTCACACATAGCCTAAGCTATATACTATGGTTTATAAATCATCTGTAACTATCATCTCATCAGGGGGTTCACTGGAGGAGGTAAAAAAAACCCCTCAAAATGGTGATTGCAACTGCAAGTCTTACCCCTTTTGTATGTGTGTTGACATCACACACATGTACAAAGGGGCAAGGCTTCAATTGCATGGTCACAACTACCATGTTGACATTTTTGGACCCACCTCTGCCCATGAACACTACTGCATCTTATAATACCAACATACCATATTATAGCTTATCATGATGAAATCACCTCTGCAAATTCATATACGCCAGTGATAATTACTTATGGGGCCCAAGGGGATTCAGTATTTCCCCACACCCCAAATCCACCAACAACCGTTCAGCATGATGCCATTCTGAAGAAATATATCTATAAACTTTGGTGGTCACCTTTCCAAAAAGTATTTCATTTTTATGTCATTTAATCACACACCCACACACCATGTTTTTTAAACTTGTCTCTATAGTATAGGCTTGGGTGAAGCAGAATGATCCCCTTCAAGGCGGTGCCTCAACTCAAAGAAATGAAGTGTTCTAATTCAACACCTCCAGTGAAGCTGGACTGGTTCAATCTTCTGAGTTGTTGCTTTGGAAATAACATGCATAGAAGCCCAGCAAAGCTACTGCTTCCCTTACACTCAGCCTTCTGTAAGCACCACCCACTGCTCGGAAGAAGATTTTGATCAGACTGAAGTGCCCACTGAGGCTTCAAGCAACCTTCTATTTAGAATGTCCTCCCACACCCAACTTATCTAGGAGCAAGCCCTATTGAACTCAACAGAGCTAACTCTAGCAGACATAAGACTGTGATAATAAAGTTTCACAAAGTACTGTATGCCAAAATGATAAATAAACAGATAAATTGCAACAGATAGCACAGTATACTGACTAACAGGGTACATGCAAATATATGGGAGCAGAGTCTTCTTGTCGCAGACCAAGGACATGGAAGTTTCTACAATGGACAGAGGCAGCCATATGGTTGACCTGCCCTGTTCCAGTTGAAATATTTCCTACTACAGGTAATCTCTCAGATCTGATTTTCTACTACTGTAATCTCTCAGATTTCTAAACAAGGTACACCAAAGGAAACAACATTACGAGGACTCTCCGTGTCCTGAGAATATGTGCATTTCTATGCATGGACTGACTGTACTTGATCTGTGTAGATACAGCAGGACATAATAGCCAATTAAGGGTTCGTTAAACCAAAATGATATCCCATGCAAAAATGTCTGAGAATCAAAATTAGTAGAAACAATCTTTAGTTTCCCTATATATTTCAAAAGGTTTGAAAAATATAGCTCTTTGTTTATTAGAGAAACAACATGCTGGAACCATCTACTAATGACTGGA